AAATCCAGGTCTCCTACTCCTCTGCCATCTTGCTCCGCCCCCCTCTGCCACTCATTCTTTCAACAGTACTTCTTTCTGGTTATGTAACTTCTCTTTGCTTTGGTTCCTTCATTTTTAAAGGTATAGGGTTAGCTTCGATTGTTTAAAAAAATTAAATATCATGGACCCCTTGAAGCAGGTAAGCTTAGAGCTTTGCTGGTTGAAGTTGTGGTAGAAAGGCAGAGTTAACCTGGCTCTTCTTACTCTCCCAAGTTCTCCCCAAAGGGTCATCCACGGAGCCAGGTCGGAAACCACTGGACCTGAATCTGTGCATCCCAGAGTAAGGAGAGGTTGTTGTGGCCTGGAGTATCTTAGGAACAGTTAAGACGTGTGTGGAGATGATATTTTGCTTTTCCACATTACATTTTCAGCTGGTTTTCTTAACAAGAAACATTTGTATAACTGTGGTCCTCTAGTAGTTGGGCACCCAGGATCAGTTCTTGTGTTGGAGAAAATGAAATGTAGCTCTCAGAGGCAGGACAGCAGTTTTCCTGACCTGCCACTGTCTTGCTGAGTGCTCTTTTGAAAATTGCTCAAGATCGTCACACCTCATTCCCCCCTCGTTTTTCCATAAAGACCTCTGACTGCAATGTGCATCATTTTGAGGTTCTGGGAAAAGAAGAAGCTGGTATCTGTCCTTCAAAGTCATGTGTTTGTTCTCAGTTGAGTGGAGGACGTTTGAACTCTTCTGGACCTTGATGTCTCTCTGAGTATCTCCTAGTTCAGTAGAATACTCTTAACCACTTGCCTTCTATGGGCTCAAGTAAAGAAAATTGTTATTACATCTTTTGTGGAAAGCTTTTTCCGCTTCTATTTTGGTCTTCCCCTCTGAGCGTATTGTATGAAAAGAGTGGAGGATTATCCTCCTTTAAGGGAAAAAGAATCATTTCATTGTTCGGTTGCTGTGTCAGGGGTCCAAGTCATTTCCAGTAGGTGGCCCTTCTCTGACCCTCTGAGGCTGCTGGTTAGCACCGACTGCAGAGAGCTTGGAGGAACACTTTAAGGGATTGATTCAAGGCAGCAGAAACCTCTTACGCCCACAACCTAACAACCTTTCTTGGGATTCACTCAGAAGGCGTATCTGGGACCTCTACTTTTTGGCTTTTGAAGTAATGTATCTTCATTAGGACTTAGAAGTAAACATATATTTTTAAGGCTCGAAGAAGGAAGCAATTTGTCTTGAGCACAGTAGATTTGATCTTTAGAGAGAGGTGAAAAGCCAACTTTTTTTCAGCAAAAGCTAAGGATGATGAATGAAACGCCCAGGGCTAAGAAGGCCTCTTCACGGCAGAGAGAGTTATCTTTAGAAGGATTTTTAAATCAACACGCATCTAGCTACCTGGCTAAGGAGTACTTGATCGGTGACCTTTTCATGGGATGTTTCAGAGAACAAAACCCCAATATTGTAACTTGCATTTGTGAAAGAGTCAATATCCACAGTATCAAAGGAATATATCTTGCAAATTATAATTCCTTAGAGTCTTTGTTGGAAGGGTAAGCCCTCTTTGCCTGCACTGTCTACAGAATACATGAGGCTTGTCCTCTGGAAGTGTGCCATTAAGTGAGGGCATGCACAATTCTTTGACTTTTCCTTTATATGGGTCTTTTTATATTTAGACACTTTTTTTTTAAGGATTTTATTTATTTATTTGAGAGAGAGAGAAAATGCAAGCAGAGGGAGGAGCAGAGAGGGAAGGAGAGGGACCAGCAGACTCCTCGTGAGAGCAGAACCCAACGTGGGGCTCGATCCCAGGACCCTGGGATCATGACCTGAGCCTAAGTCAAGATCCGATGCTCAACCGATGGAGCCACCCAGGTGCCTCTATTTAGACACTCTTGGTATATATGGGCATTGCCATCTTGGGAGAGCGGATGTTGGTGGTAAGATTTCTTAAGATGAAGTTTTATTTATCTACAGAATTAGAGGTTAGGTTGATGTACTACTAGTCTAGAATTTGAGTCTAATTACAAGGTTTTTACATTTTCATAATTTATTTTTGTTTTTGATTTTGATTTTGCTGGTTTAGCCACTAGGCATTTGACGCTAAGCAGACAAACAAACATGACCCTCTTCCCCACCGAAAACCTAAGAAAACGACACAAGTACATAGCACTCTTGCAGACAGTAGCGTGAGAAAATGTGATTCACTTCAGAATGATCTGATTTATGACCTGATTTCATGGAAATCTTAAAAATGGCCTATATTCATATCACACACTTTTCTGTGTGCTTGATGTACATCATTTAATTCTTTTTTTTTTTTAAGATTTTATTTATTTATTTGAGAGAGAGAATGAGAGACAGCATGAGAGGGAGGAGGATCAGAGGGAGAAGCAGACTCCCTGCTGAGCAGGGAGCCTGATGCGGGACTCTGTCCTGGGACTCCAGGATCATGACCTGAGCCGAAGGCAGTCGCTTAACCAACTGAGCCACCCAGGTGCCCTATCATTTAATTCTTTAAACAACTCCATGTGACAGGTACTATTATTACCCTATTCTACAGAAGAGGAAATTAAGATGTAGAGAACACAAGTAATTTGGTCAAGATTACCTTGTTACTAAGTGGCAGAGCTGGTTTTCAAATCTAGCACTCAGTTCAGTGCCCATGCTCTTGGAGGGATGTGCCATCATCACAAGGGGATACAGGATGGCCTGTGTTTATGGAGCACCTACTACAGCTTGGATTGACAGGAGGAAAGAGGCACAATATTACCCTATGAAGAGCATAGTGTTAACCCTGGGATAATGCATCCGTTGGGGAAGGTGGCATATTGTACCAGGGTGATTTAATGCCACATAAGTACATGCTAGGTCTAAATTAATTATCCTCCAGAATATGTAATTTAGAATCATTAAAATGTAAAAAAATTGGAAGGTTTAAGAGAGTTGAATGAAGATGAGTTATAACTAGCTTTTTTTCTTTAATATAAAAAGACCTAGGAAAAATACTTGGATAAAGAAAATTAGTTTCCAGTTGTAGAATCTGTGGAATGATTTTTTTTTTTTCCATCTAGGCTAGAGATTCTTTCATTCACGGAACTCATCACGTTTGGAAGGCAGCCATGCTCATCTCTCTACCACCAAAGCACGCTGAACTCATCCCATTTGGATAGACCTCTTGGTGTTTGGTTTGAGAAAACAACCATTGGCACAAAGTTGATGAACTTCCACGCACGCACACAGGTGTGACTCCTCTCAGCCTTTGGGGGGCAGCTGGGTGTAGCCTGGGGGATACCATTATGGATGATGACCCAAGAACCATGGAACACACCTCTCAAGACCTTGGCTTTACATAAACCCCCCCCAACTTAGATACAACCAATGAAAAGGAAGGAATTCCAAATAAATGAAAGTTGAGTTTTTATTACTTTTGCCAAATGGGAACTCCAAATATAAGTCAAATTATTCTACCCGTAATTTTAACATTGAGGTTTTGGTCTCAGCTAATACAGTCACAAAGGATAGTCTTTGAGTCATGCAAATAGGGAATTGGGATTTTTTTTTTTTTAAAATGAGAGTGTCATTGATGAGTTTGTGGTTTATCCCTGAAGAATTCCATGCTTTAGAGATGGGTCTTAGATTGTGGAAAGGCAGATAAGACTGGGAGCGTAGATAATAGTAGGAAAAATCATGGAGGCTCACAAATCTAAGGAACCTATTCTGAGATTTTAACATGTGTCTGAGTTAAAAGTGCTCACACTTACAACGGAACAAGTTCAAATGTTCTTATGTGAAACAGAGTTCCTTTTTCAAAAGCACCATTGACAGAGAAGTTGGATCCTGCTATTAATCTTCTTTAGGTAGGAAAGGGTAAAAGGTACAGATTTCTCATCTACACATGAGACAGTTTTCTTTGGACTAGGGCAGGGATGTGCCTGAGCACATAAAAAATTTTCTTTTTGCCAGGCTAAGACTTTTGGAGCCACTTTTTATAAAGCTCTAGAAACTTGGGTTTATTTCATGATCAGCTTTGTATGAAAATCTTCCAGATCAAGAATCACTTTAGTAGAAGGAGAAAATGAGGGGACTGGTGGGTGTTAGTGTTACCTCAAGCTTCTCTGGTTCTTGCTATGGATGCTGTGCGTCATGGAATTTCTCCTTTTGGGGGCTGGCTGCTACCTTGAAGCTTTGCTCTGTGGCGATAAGTGTCTTGGTTTCAGTTTTCCTGTTGATGCTCATTTTGACAGGTGCCTACCTCTCTTGCTTTCCAATTTTCCTGTCTTTTTGGGCCACTGACCTGAATGATCGAGGATCCTCAGACTGTACTCATGTTTGGAACACACTTATTTTTCTTTATTGTATAAGCAATATGTATGAATTGTAGAAAAATACAGATAGAAATAATAAGAATCAAAGGGAAGAAGGGACAAAATATAAAACCAACCATAATTATAGAATCCAAGGTATTATTGTTAACCACTTTGTGCAGAGTATTTCAGGGTATGTTAGCAAAATAGATATTATCAAAATAGAAACATTTAGAAACTCTTTCAGACTCTGCTTTTCCTGCTTAATATATTAAATATATCCCAATAGTACCACTAACCTTTATCGACCTGATATAAAAGGCTGAATATTATTTTGTGTAATGGCAGTCCCAGAGCTGGTTTAACATTTCCAACATGGTCAGACAGTTTATTTCTAATTTTTCCATTATAGAACCACTGTTATGACTCTACCCTTTTGGCTGCACCACCCACATGATTATTTCCTCAGGATAAATTTCCAGGAGCAGGAGTGCTAGGTCAAGACATGTGCAGAATTTTAAGTCACCTGGTAGATCGCCAAATTGCCCTGTAGACTGTGTGGCCCAATTTATTCACCCACCAGCCAAGCTCCAGAGTCTGGCGCTTTGCCTTGGCTTCCTTACCTGCTTTTCTGGATACGATTGTCTTTTTTTAGTCCCCTCAGCTTCCTTTTATTTATTTGTTTGTCGTTTGTTTAGTTTAGTTTTTTTATTGACTATGGTTGACACACAAGGCTACTTACTTTCAGATGAAGTACAACAGAGTGATTCCACAAGTCTGTAGACCCATCTCTCACCACACAACACTGTTGACTCCCCTTTCATCCCTGTGACTTACATGGATGTGGCTTTCGGCGCTGGTTCTCGGAGAGACACACTACAGATCCCCTCCAGGCCTTGTGTGGTGAAAGCGAAACAATACAAAATAAAATGCCAGGCAAGCAGCAAACAAACGCACTAGGAAGTGGGTATTTAGGTTGAGGAGAGGGAGATGGTCAGGTGCGTTCTGCTCGGCTGAGTGTGTTCTGGTATCTTCCATCTGCGCACAGCACGGCTCTCACAGACAATGAAGGTTGAACGTGCCAAAGGTTCTTCACACGGGGGCCAAGGTGGGTTCCTGATCCCCCACTCCTCTGAAAATGTGTACTTTTAGCTTCAGCGCATGCAAGCTTTTTGCGGAGAGTGTCTGTAACTTCCTTCAGGTTTTCTGAAGGTCCTCTAGGGCTGACAGGTGTCCCTCAGGAAAGGAATGATTCAATATATCGGCTTCTTGTCTCCTGAAATGAAAAGAGAAAAAAAGGAAGGAAAGCAAGAGAGATCTTTTTCCTTTACAATGAAAATATTGCTCAGCTTGTATCAGGCTGCTCTGAGAATTGCTGGGTTATTTTTGAACTCATGATTCCTGAAATCAGGGATAAAAATGGTTCTTCTGAAATGACCAGGCATTTGCTTCTGTGCCTCCTCTAGGAATGGGGACGGGGCAGCTTTGTCCTCCATTTTGGGAGGGGTTACTAAGAGAGTGAGCCCTCCCGGTCAGTGGCCCAGGTCAAAAACCTGCCTATTGGCCTTGGCATGGCTTCTCCCAGCAGTGGATCCCCAGGTCCAAATGTAGACGTTAGCCAGATGTAATTGTGTAAGAGGGAGGGCCCGCGATCACAAAAAGAACGCACGATTGTTTTGTTTTTTAAAGAATTAAGGACAGGGGCGCCTGGGTGGCTCAGTCAGTTAAGCGTCCGCCTTCGGCTCAGGTCATGATCCCAGGGTCCTGGGATGGAGCCCCGCATCGGGCTCCTTGCTCAGCGGGGAGTCTGCTTCTCCCTCTGCTCTTCATGCCACTCTTGCTCTCTCTCTTAAATAAATAAATAAAATCTTAAAAAAAAAATAAAGAATTGAGGACATTTATGAAATAATTGAAAATTATGAGAATCCTTCCTTGGGGTTCCTGGGTGGCTCAGTCGGTTAAGAGTCCAATTTTTTATTTCAACTCAAGTCATGATCTCAGGGTCATGAGATCAATCCCCCTCACTTTGGGCTCCATGCTCAGTGGGTAGTCTGCTTGAGATTCTCTCCCTCTCCCTTTGCCCCTCCCCCTGCTCACTAAATAAATAAATAAATAGATGAATAAATAAATAAATCTTTAAAAAAATAAAGAATCCTTTCTGGATATTTGTTGATATTATGGCATAATGAATATCCATCTATCTCCATACACACACACACACACACACACTTTTATTGTGGTAAATTATATGTTCTGTTTTGAATTTGCAAGGAGAGAGCAGTGTCCAGTGGCAAACTGAAAACGGAGTTGAGGATGAGTGGGTGAAGGGGGGATGGGAAGGGACGGTCTGATTCTCGAGTGGCTCGGGGCCAGGTTTTTAAGCACTACGGTTGAGCCCTGAAGATGGGTTTTATTTCCAGAGCACACAGAGGTGTGATTCCTGGACTTTAAAACAGATTCTTTGTTTATTTTCTACTCTGTCTTCTGCACTACTGTTTGGTACTTCTTGGACTCTAAAACATGAATCCTAACCCTCCAGGATTTCTCTTAGAAAATGCAGCATTCATCACTCCCAAGGGCTTCTGACACAAATAGATTAATAATAAGCAAGGGCTTTTGTTAAAAAACATTCCCCTTATGCAATTTTATGCCATTTAACCCCGAAGGTATAGGTAACTGAACTTTCTAAAACTTTAAGGCTTAATTTGGGTTGAGTGACTTAAGCCACGATAATAATAGACTTTGAATAATCATAATTGATTAAAAATAAATTCTAAAGACATGAGGGGCGCCTGAGTGGCTCAGTCGTTAAGCGTCTGCCTTCGGCTCGGGTCATGATCCCAGGGTTCTGGGATCGAGCCCCGCATTGGGCTCCCTGCTCAGTGGGGAGCCTGCTTCTCCTGCTCCCACTCCCCCTGCTTGTGTTCCCATTCTCACTGTCTCTCTCTGTCAAATAAATAAAATCTTAAAAAAAAAAAATCTAAAGACATGAATCAGCTAAGAAGAGATCTAGAAGGCATGTAGCTTGATTTGAATTGTGCCAAGACGATTTTTAAAAAACATTACCTCAATCTCAAGTACGGAGAATGTTTAATGATATAATGCTGCCACCTAGTGCTTATGCCCTGTTAGTGCAGCAATATTTGTGGCGTTGACAAGTAACTGCTTCAGTGAACGGTTAGAATTTTCTAGACAGTAATTATTTGCAATTTTATTGGAGCATAAGTTGAATGTATTTACCATAAAACACAGATTTTAATGGCTCGCAGAATCCTTGAATTCCCCGCATAGCGTCACGAATGAAAACTGAGAGTTGGGGCATCTGTCACTTATCACTGGCACATTAGGTTGACTTTTCTGTCCCAGTTATTAGAGACAAAGCCACTTTCACAACCATGTGGTGTTGTGGCTTGAGCTAACATTTTAATTAAATTGTGTTTGGAGCTTAGAAGGGGAGCTTGGAACTATAAATTTAAACTGAGAGCAATCTGGGGTGATGGAGGAGGTCAGAAAATTCTGAAGGGGGGGTCACTTACGGGAATAGAATCTGAGTGCTCCAGATTTTTAGCTGTCATGTATCTGAAGCAATCTCTGTCATGCCTTGTCCACGGATGAGATTCGTGTAGCCAACAGAGATTTTCTTAAAAATTGCGTTAGACTCCAACAATAAAAAAGGATTTCTGAGGTCTTTTGGGAAACAGAATCTCCAGAGGATGGGCTGGTGTGCCCAGCTGTAGGATTGGTGGGGGTGTGTGGTGTTTCGTTGGCTCCCGGTCCCACTAGGTAAGTTTCACTCACGTACCAGCCCGGACCCTGGGGCCGTCTCTGTTTGTAGCTTCTGCCCTACAGCTTCTAGATTTTGGTGGGAGAAGATAAAAATGAAAGCTGTTGGTGCTGGAAAAGAGACCTGAAAACATCTAGTCTGGTCTCCTCTTT